TGGAGGTTGGGTTGAGGGGGTGTCGCAAAAAAATAGCAAAGTCCCAAGGGCGTCACAGTACGAATAAGTTTGGGAAGCCCTGATGTAATCAAAAGCTTGTTTGATATGGTGTACCAAATATATTAGTAAAACATTATCCTATAAACAAACGTACGTGAGTTCTCTCTCTTCAATCCTGATCCCCTAGGGGGAGTGTAGTGGTCGACGTGATGTCTTGTATTGTCCGTCTCCAGAGATCTCTGTCTCTGGTCATTTCTTTTAATTCATGCATAGGTCTTTGGCATATTCCTGTAATTTGATCTATCCATCTTGTTGGGGATCTTCCTCGTGATCTTCGGCCTTCTACCTTTCCTTGTATTATAAGTCTTTCCATGTTTTCTGTGTTTGCTCTCATAACATGCCCAAAATATTTTAATTGTTGGAGATGGACTTTACTAGAGAGTCGTTGGCTAACTTTTAGCTCTCTTAAAATTGAATTATTTGTTCTACGGTCGGTCCAAGGAATTCGTAACATTCGTCTCCAATAGAACATTTCAGTGGCGTCTATCTTTCGTCTCTCCGATTGTCTCAGAGTCCAAGATTCACATCCGTAGGTCAGTATTGGGAATATTAAGCAGTTGATCAACCTCATCTTTATCGCTCTTGAAATTTGACATTCCTTCCATATTTTGGTCATTTTTGCTGTGGCAACTTTTGCTAGATCACATCTACGTTTAATCTCTTCTTGTAATGACCCTGTGTTTGTGATTAATGATCCCAGATATAAGTATGAGCTCACAACCTCGAACCGGTCAATTGTGGTTATGTGTGGATGATTGTTGTGTAGTCTATCCACTATCATGATCTTTGTCTTTGATATGTTTAATTGCAGACCAAATATTTGACTTTCGTTTTCGATCAGTCGTATAAGTTCCATCAGCTCTGCTTGACTATCTGCAAGAAGGGCTGTGTCATCTGCGAAACGTAGGTTCTTTAGTTTATGACCATTTTCCCATCCTTCAAGCGCTCTTCGCATAATGTACTCCCCATATATGTTGAGTAATTGTGGAGATAGTATACATCCTTGTCTGACACCCCGTTCTGGATGAAACTCGTTCGAAAGTGTGTCAAGTACTTTAACTGATCCAGAAGTGTGTTCATATAGTTCAGTTATAAGCGTAATTAGATGTTGTGGTACGCCTACTTCTTTTAGTATTCACCATAAGTGTCTCCACTTGACCCTGTCGAACGCTTTAAGGTAATCTGTAAAACAGATGTATAGTGGGATGTTGAATTCCCTAGATTTCTCGATTATCTGTCTTATATTCAGCAGGTGTTCTCGAGTGCCTCTACCTTTGGTAAATCCAGTTTGCTCTTGTGGAATTTCTCTTTGAAGGAATGTTTTCAGTCTCTCATTGATTATATGTAGCATTATCTTGCTGGCATGGGATATAAGAGAGATAGTTCTATAATTGTCGCATTTATGGAAGCTGCCTTTTTTATGTATGGTCGTTATTGTAGATTTTGTCCAGTCTTCAGGCATTGTTTGGAATGCCAATGTACACTTCATCTAATTTATATAACGATGCACGTCATCGGCGTCAGAGCCTGTGACGTCACATGATACCAACACGAAATATTTAGGGTATAGGTGTGTTCTTTTTTAGAATCACTTTACCGAGTACACTGGCATTACAGCCACTAGACATATTTTATTATATACGCGTAGAAATAATATTTAAAAATTTCTATTAATATTAACTTAAAGAAATACACAATAATATGTTTCATTTAATTTGTATAAATGCAATATAAAGCGTTTTTATCAAGAACATTTGTTCGGAACACACTGTAACTGTAATCGAACAAAGGTGAAACTTTGGCATCAATTGGTAACACTTATTTGACAGTTGCGGTGTTGACACTTTTTGCACATTATTATTTTGAATTTTAAAGTGAATATCTCTTTTTTATATTTTTTACTATTTAATAAAATCTGTTCTTTTTAGAACAAAATTAGTGTGTTTTATTTCAAAAATGTCACGTAAGAATTTAAATAGTCGTTGTAAAGAGATGGTAATACTTTTCAATAATTATGTGATCTATTTGATTTAAAATGGAGTCAGGACTTTTTTATACTTTGGCAACTATGTCAACTTCGATCTCTGACGTAGATAATGACGTAAGTCGTTATCTAAATTAGATGAAGTATACGTGAGTTAAATAGCTAGCAAATAACAGGAGTAGATCACTATTATTTAGAATTAATAATTAAGAGTTAACAGTCGAAGCTAATGTTGTCATCCGTCAACTGGGTACTCTCTCTATTATTGTACTTAGAGAACCAATAAAGTAATTATAAGTATCCAGTAAGTTCGAGTAAATCAACTACATGCAGGGGGTAAACTGCCCCTAGAGTTCTAAAATATAATGGAATATTATATTATTATCCAGCGTTATTATACCATGTTTTAAACGAAAAAGTGTACAAAAGCGCGTAATTGCAATAACAGGATAAAATAACTCTGCTATCTGCAATAATCCCCAAAGAATTTTTCTGTAGCTTAACATAAGTTTCTATACAGAGTGGCCCAAAAGTCTGGAAACGGCTGATTATCTCGTAAAATGCTAATCATAATTGTACAAAATTTGAGTTACCCCTATTTTGAGATTCCATATTTGATATTTACAATGTTCCCAGAGTTGCCGTTTTTCTTATATTATTAGTAACTTTGATTTTTCAAATACATCACCCTGTATATTCAGTCATTATTGGAATCTCCTATTCAATACGAGTTCAACCATATGTAACACTTATGATTTTATGTAATCTGGAAGGTCATAAATACATAAAACCGAAGTCTGGCAACGCCTAAATTGTTTCAATAAATTTTTTAATACTAATTATTTTCAAATACATTAAAACGTAACAATTGATAGTTTAGAACATTTTTTAACATAGTAGTTACGTTATTAAGTGGTCAAAATGTGCTCATTTTGTGAGTTGACAGCACCCTAATCGATGGTAGAAGGCGTCTACCACATTTCTCCATGATTGTCTAGAAATTATTCGAGATTCATTGATAATTCGTTGCCTTAGCTCTGCAAAACTTGCTGGTTAAGTTTTGTAAACTGAATTTTTCAAGTATCCCTAATAAAAATAATCTTTAGGATTGAAATCGGGTGAACGTGGAGGCCATTCAATTCTACCTTGTCTACCAATTTATCGTCCAGGAAATATCTCATCTAAATATCGCCGAACATTTACACCAAGTATCTGACGTTAAATTTCTTTCGACAAAAAATGACCCAATTGAATAAGTAACTACTATATCTGACCATACATTTAATTTTTGTGGTCTTTGAGTATGGTTTTCACGCATTCAGTCTTCAGTGTGAATTTACGTCACACCAGTACCTTAAATTGTGTCGATTTACACTTCCACACAGTGTAAAAGTTGCTTCATCGAAAAAACATATTCTGTGAAAAATACGAAATTTTAATAATTTTCCATTTTATCCATCATTAGCTCAGTAAACTCTAATCTACGACCAAAGTCATCTTCACTTAATTCTTGCAATAAGTTAATTTTGTATGATTTAAATTTATTTTTACGTAACAAACGTAAGACTGAAGCATGACCTACATCATGCACTTGTGCAACCCTGCCTGGGGATGTATGTGGATCTTCAACAAAACTTTGCTTATATCTGAAGTTTTGTTGTCATTGATCACATGATGTCATGAACTCGTTTCGGTCAACCTGATCGATACCTATCTTTTACTTCTTCAGATTCCTCAAATTGCCTTACAGTTTTTTGTACCGTCGTCTTATGAATAGGAGAACGGTTTAGAGAACGGCATTTTAGAGAAGCTATTTAAATTGCAAAACTTTTTGAACCACAGCTACTGTCAATTTTAGTTTATAATTTAAATGATGAACAAATGTGAAAATCACAGCATTCTCCATTTAAATATTTAAATTTATTAAAATCTACATATTTTGCACTGTTTTATGTATTTAAGATCTTTCAGACTACATAAAATCAAGTGAACATATGGTTGAACTCGTATTGAATAGCTGAACTCGTGTGAAATTCACACTGAATGCGTGAAAACCATACTCAAAGACCACAAAAATTAAATGTATGGTCAGTTATAGTAGGTACTTATTTAATTGGGCCATTTTTTATCGAAAGAAATTTAACGTCAGATAGTTGGTGTAAATGTTCGGCGTTATTTAGATGAGATATTTCCCGGACGATAAATTGGTAGACAAGGTAGAATTGAATGGTCTCCTCGTTCACCCGATCTCAATCCTAAAGATTATTTTTATTAGAGATACTTGAAAAATTCAGTTTACAAAACTTAACCAGCAAGTATTGCACAGCTAAGGCAATGAATTATCGATGAATCTCAAATAATTTCTAGACAATCATGGAGAAATGCGGTAGACGCATTCTACCAGCGATTAGAGTGCTGTCAACTCACAAATGGAGCACCTTTTGAACACTTAATAACGTAACTATTATGTTAAAAAATATTCTAAACTATCAATTGTTACGTTTTAATGTATTTGAAAATAGTTAGTATTAAAAAATGTATTGAAACAATTTAGGCGTTGCCAGACTTCTGCTTTATGTATTTAAGACCTTCCAGACTACATAAAATCATAAGTGTTACATATAGTTGGACTCGTATTTAATAGGAGATTCCAATAATGACTGAATATACGGGGTGATGCATTTGAAAAACCAGTTACTAGTAATATAAGAGAAACTGAAAATCTGGCAACATTTCAAATACCAAATACGGAATCTCCGTATCCCAAAATAGGCGTATCTCAAATTTTGTATAATTATCTCTAGTAATTTATGAGATAATTAACCGTTTCCAGACTTTTGGGCCACTCTGTATATACATAACGCAATCAAATGGAATTCTGTGAAATTGTGGTTTACCATTATGTTAGAATAAGTTCTTTAATTGTTAAATAAGGAAAATTATAAAACTTACTCACCTTTCACTTAATTTTTTTCGAGGAACAGATACATTTTGTTCGCTAAGTACCATCTCCACAGTACCTCCACCGTAATATTTCTTATGCAAAAGTTTCTCACTTGATTTTCTTACCAACAATCCTCCTAATCCAGTTGGATATCCAAAAATCTTGTAAAATGATACAGTAACAAAATCAGGTTTATACTGGGATAAGTTAAGTGTAGATGTTGATAAAAAACACGCAGCGTCTAACAAAACGTACCAGTTTTTACTTGTGGAATCCACTGAAGAATTAAGTGCTCCTTTTTGAATTTTTTCTATCCATTCTAGAGGATATTTGGTACCAGAAAAGTTGCATTCAGCGGGGTAAACAAAAAGGTTGTTGAATTCCGCACATTCTACTTTAGCGTTTGTCGTATTTTGTGCAAATATTCTAAACGCGTCTTCAGTTTTTATTTCTTTTATACTTTTGGCGTAACTTCTCATACCAAGAACTGAGGTGTGATTATTTTCTAGATACGTAAGCCATCCTTTCTCGTCTAGACCATAATTGAAAGATTCGGCGACTATTTTTATTGACTGGGTTGTTCCAGATGTAAAAATTAAGGTGTATTCTTCATCGGTTGTATTGAAGTGCTGCAAAATTCTGTAGATATTATTATATTATCAGTAGACTTCGACAAATATGCAAATAAAAATGTAGAAAATATGCGCATAAATATGCACGTGTTTACCCGAAAATATGCAAATATTTTACAAAATATGCATACAAATAAATAAAAAAATCGTAAAATAGTAACAATTTTATTTAAAAAGAAAGTGTACATAACTAAATATTTCCTACTATTCATTAAGATTTACATTTATTTTAAGTAACTACATCATTTTTAAGTATGAATAAACTTATTTAGAATTATGGTAACAATAAATGACCAAGTGGTGTTCAAAATTTTCTAAAAAAAACTTGTGGCTTCTGTCTGAGTACATATATTTATATATGGAAAAACTTCGTTCAACATCAACTGATGTAACGGGAGCATTTTTCAAACTAACCAAAACATTTGGTTCTAAATTAATTGTTTCCGAAATATTTCCAGCTAGAACACTGACTACTTCAGAAAGAATATGGTAACCTTTATTTTTTTTCCATAGTAGCTTCAAATTTTTTTAAAATATCTTTTCCAATATTACCTCTAACGTTCCGACAACATGACGCAAATTCTTTTATTAATGCTGTACTTTCGAACAATGAGAGTTTTGGTGATTCTAACCGAGTAATTGTTTTTTGAACAAAACTAAAATTTGATTTTATAAATGAAAGTTCTTGTTGAAGCAAGTTACTCTGAAAAGTTTGTTTAGAATCCAAAAGAGATTGGGATCTTTCATCTGTTAACGTATCAATTATGTTCTTTATTTTAACAAAATGATCTGCATAAAAATTAGCTGCTTCTAACCATGTTCCCATCGCGTTAAAATAGGTTGTGGTGGAAGAGGAATGTTAGGTAGCATTTCTTTATAAAGTTGAATTCTTATAGGAGATTTAAGAAATACTTTTTTGACACTGGATATCATGGTATTTACAAGAGGAAACTTTTTTCGTATTTCCTCTGCAACTCTGTTTAATCCATGCGCTACACAAGTAACATGTATTAAATGTGGGAAAAATATTTTTAAATTTTGTTCTGCTTTCACCATATAAGGAGCAGCATCCGATAAAATAAGTAGTAATTTATTAGAAGGAATAGTTGTCGGAAGAAAAAAGTTGCTAATGTTTCTTGTATAAAACGCGAAATTGTTAAAGCATTTGTTTTCTCAAGTTGCTGGCATGAAAGAAGATGAGATTTTGGTAAGGTATCTTCTTTAAGAACACCAATCAATAAATGAGCAATATACTTTCCTGAGGAATCAGTGGTTTCGTCTACAGATATGTAAAAATAATTATCTGCAATTTCTTCCTTAATATTAATTAACACCGACGAGTATAGCCCGTTCACATTATTTCTTCTTAGAGACCGATCACTTGGAACATTAAGTTTGCAATATTTTTTTAGAAACGAACTAAAATTTACATTTGCTTATTTTGAAAGCGGTATGTTTGCAGACACTAATGCGCGACACAAGGCTTCATTAAAAGTTTCTTGCTCATCTAATTTTTTTGAAGTAGATTGGACACATTTAGCCATTGAAGTTTGATGTTTTCCTCCTATTTTTCATTTTTTTGCAATGTGTGAAGCAGTTCTCACATGTTGGTCTATCTGAAATTTCTTCTCACATGCTATCTATAAATAAAAATAAAAACCTTTATTTTAACCCAACATTTAAAATATAAAAATATACAAGGTGTTTTTGGTTAATCAAATAACTGGTTTGAAAAAAAAAACACTCGCTAAGTGTTTTAAATGCAGTATTAATCCACAAATTAGATTTTGTTACTAACCATTAGTACATCATATAACTTATTTTAAAATTCAACAAAAGTTTTTTTTTTGTTAATTCAATTACAATAAAAATAATTGTGTTTTAGAATAGCTGACTTCATAAAAAAAAGTAAAGGTGAAAAATTTTTCTAAATACACACCATTGTATTGTACCATGGACAATTTTTTCTCACTAAAGGAAGCTATTTTTCATTTAAAAACAACCTACGAGTACTAAATTTAAAGTAAATACGTTTATTGGTTTTAAAGTTATTGTTGTTATTAACTAAAAGAATTTAATTTTTTTTTTAATTTTAACACCCTGTATCTCAAAAAGTAAATAAGTTTGACCCCTCATTAACTATATCGTTTTGTTCAATTTTTCGAGAAGTATCTACAGTCAAACGTTGTAAGTGTCATTTGGAAACACCCTGTATATATGAAATATTAGATATTTAATAGAAAATATTAGATACTTACAATTTTGCCACAGACTGAACAGTAGATTTTTCCCATATCCATAGACAGCTCTTTATAAGGTTTAATCCAAGTTGAAGTACTGGTTGTTTTAGGCATTATAAAATCACAATCTTCCTTTTTGTTACGCACAACGAGTGTTTACGCTTTGAATATCAAAACAAAAATGATTTACAAATCTGAGCATCAAATCAGAAATGTTTAGGTACCTAATTCAATAAACTGGGAGATTTTGGAAAATCCCTAAATTAGGAACAAAACTATTAGCCGTTTACCTGCTGTTAAGATACAATAAATTGTAGATAGATTTGGGGATTAGATCATAAAATGCAAATGAGCGAACCCTTAGCGATTATCCAATAACTGAATGCCTCAGTGACCGAGACTTTCTAAGAATGTTGAGGGCTACTTAAATTGATCTTCTTTAAAATTGTAAATGTTTTGTACCTGTAGAGATTACGTACTTAGATCATTTCTTGATTAAAATGACTACAAAATTTTATACAAGAATTGAAATAAATTGGTATGTTTAAAAATTTTCAAATATAGTATAAAAATCTGAACTTTTATGCACTTTATGCAAACTTTTATACAAATATGCCAAAATATGAAATATTTGCATAAAATATGCACAATATGCAAAATATGCAATATGCATATTTGACGAAGTCTAATTATCAGTTTAAAATATTTTTAGGAAATTCTATAACTACAAGGCTTGCTACCTGTTTAATATTTTGTATTATTACTAAAAATGTAAAATATTAAAATCCAAAGTTGTTTTACCAATCAAATAAATGTGTTTTGCGACTTACATAAGAAATTTTAAATAATTGACTATCACTACCAGAGGCGTCATACAAGGAGACGCAAATTACCAAAGCTCTTCACTGCAACTCTAGAAAATATATTCGGCAAAATGAACTGACAGAACAAAGGGCTATCCGTTAATGGAGAATATATCAGCCATCTAAGATTTGCAGACATCGTTCTGATTGCTAATAATCCTGCATAATTACAAGAACTTATAAGCGACCAAAAGGCAGCTAGCAATGAAGTTTTTCTAAAAATGAACCTGACAAAAATAAAACCATGTAGAACGAGCTAGTGGATGTTCAAGATGAAATAGTAAATAACACTGCACTTGAGACAGTTGACGAATATGTATACCTGGTACAATTAATACATGAATCTGGCTCCTTACTCCCAAAAATCTACATAACAATGAAACTGGTTTGGGCTTTTTTTGGCAGAAATGCAGTTATATTCAAATCGAAGATGCCACTTTCCCTGAAGAAAAAATTCGATCAGTGTATACTACAAATCATGACATTGCGGCTGCGAAACTTGGATACTAAATAAAGAGATAATAGCGAAACTTAAAGTCACTCAAAGGTCAATGGAGCTATGTATACTAGATATAGCAAAGATAGATCGAAAAAGAATAGAAGGGATCAGACAGAACACCAAAGTCACTGATGTAATCCACAGAATTAAAATGGCAGTGGGCGGGATATTTTGCGAGAAAAAAGTGACACTAGATAGTCCACTAGAATTACACTGTGGTATCAAAGAGGCGTTAAGAGACTAAGAAGACGTCCAAATTTAAATGGGACATAAACAAACAAGCCGATACAACATGGCGCAGAAAAGCTAATATTAGACAATCGTGAATAGAAATAAAAAACGCACCATAGTCGATAGCAAACGCTGAAAATGATGATGATGGTATATAAATATATGCCGTCAGGGGACATTTCATCATAATGTATTCAATGGTTTGACTAGATTCTCCGTAGTCGCATGATTGTATTTCGCTAAGTAACCATTTAAATAGTAAGTTGCAGCACAACTAATTTAATTCTAATGCGGTTTAGAATCTTCCACTAAAAGCAAGTTAGTTCCATCCTGGTAGGCGCTCATTCTTCTTCATGTACCATGTCCTTTCAGAACGTTGGTTACCACCATAGCTATCTTAATTTTATTCACTGCTACCCTAAGTAGCATGCTTGTATCAACACCATACCATTCTCGCAAGTTCTTCAACCATGAGGTTCTTCTTCGTTCTGGACTGCGTTTTCCTGCTATTTTTCCTTGCATGATATATTGTAGGAACCTGTATTTGGGACCTCTCATTACATGTCCGAAACACTCCAGCTTTCTTTGCTTGATGCTTTTTATGATCTCAGTAGTCTTGCTGAGACGCTCTAGTATTGTGGAGTTTCGAATTTTCTCCACCCAGGAAACTTTTAAAATTCTTCTATAGCACCACATTTCAAAAGCCTCAAGGCGATTTAGATCGATTTTATTCACAGTCCAGAACTCGACACCATAAGGTAAGATCGAGAACAGGTAGCAGCGAATTAGGCGGATCCTCAATGTCAATTTTAGGTCTCTGTTACATAACACCTTGGACATCCTTCTAAAAGCAGCTCCAGCCTGCTCTATCCTAGATCTAATTTCGCCGTGAGTTTCTGTGTTACAATTTAATTTCTGTCCCAGGTAAACGATTTTATCAACTTGCTCAAGTTTTATATGATTTACATATATAGACGGTTTTATATGCTGTTGTTTACTTATTACGAGTATTTTGGTTTTCCGTATGTTCAAATCCAGACCTACCTCTTTACAACTCTCAACGACACTATCAAGTAGTGTTTTCAGATCTTCTTGACTAGAACCTAGGAGTACTGTATCGTCCGCATATCGCAAATTATTGATGACTTTGCCGTTCACAAATACTCCTTCTTGTTTTTCAGAAAGTGCTTTTCTGAAAATACTTTCGGAGTAAACGTTGAAAAGTAGGGGTGACAAGAGGCATACCTGCCGTATGTCAATGCCTTTTAGAGTTTCAATCAATATAGAGTGCTTAACACGATCAAATGCCTTTTGGAAGTCAATAAAACCACAGTATATGTCTACAGATATATCTCGACATATTTAAGCTAGTATGTTCTTTCCAAACAGTATCTCTCTCGTTTCAAACCCGTTACGCAAACCAAACTGAGTATCATCCAGGTATTTGGGTTTAAAATTATGTTTTTATGTTCCCTAACGAGACTCTCTTGTCTACGGATGTCTGAAGGTGTAGTATGATTCAAAACAAGGAGTCATGGAGTAGAGGTACTCTTAATACATCCGTTGATAATTATGATTTGATTTAGTTTGGTGTTGATCTTTGCTACATGGCTGCTGTTCAACTATTAGGTAACTAAGTAGTCCAGCCACCGAAGTATTTACTAAGAACTATCAAATCTTCTGTCAATCTTCTGTCAGTCTGTTGCTTGAGCCTTATATTGTGTTGACGTGCGGTTAGTGCTAAGTCATCAGCATATGTATACTTCTTTACCAACGTTGGAGGGATGTCAGACGTATATAGATTGAAGAGGATTGGAACAAGCACCGATCTTTGAGGGAGACCATTTTGCAATTTCCTCACCCTGCTCTCATTGCCTCCAGTTATTATTTGAAAAGACAAGAGATTTTGTCAGTGAAACTTTTGATGTAAGGAAGAAAAGCTTTCGTATGATGAGGGTTTGAGTCTTTGGGTTGAGATTGACTGGAAGATTGATATCTGTGAATGCTCCTATCGATGTGATTTTCGCGGTAACCGTTTTGGATTCTAGAGTGCTAAGATTAATAATATTATAAAAATTAATATTAAACTTAACAGTCTTACGGGTTGAACCACGTATATTATTATGGCATCGAGCTTTTAACACCCTCTTTGATGTCATTTTCAGGTCTTCCAAGGTCTCAGTCTCCCGGGCCCCCAGACACTACTACACTAATCACTAACCAATTCATTACTGCTTCTGGGAACAGCGGGGGGTTCATTTATATTGTTGATGGTGACGTTATTTGGGTGGAGGTAACTGTTTTGGATAAGAGCTTGTTTTAAACTATAGAGCTCAGCAGGTCTACTTGTATCATCGCAAAGGCGTATTCATTTGTGAAGGTGGATGATGATACTTGACATGCAAGTAACGATTATTAAAACGATTATATAAAACCGTCTACCTCAACAGAAAACGGAGTTGTATATAATACGGAGTTGGAACGGAGTTGGTCTCCTCTAACCTAGATTAAGTATCAATTAGTTATTTACCAATTTGTAGGTATTGACCAAAATATCGTCTTTTGCCGCATCCATCCTGTTATCGCCAATATTTACTTTTTGCAGGTATTTTTTGCAGGTATCGATGACTGTAGCGCCATCGATTGTATTAGCTAGGATTCGATTAAAAACCCAGAGACACAAAAGTAAAAATAGTACTAGAAAAAATGCCCAATGGGTGACATGAAAGGTAAACAAGAATAAAGAAGAAAATAGTTTCATATATAAGAATTTTATTATTATTTAAAATTTTAGCTAGCTTGCCCGTACTATTCGCTCTACTTTTATCATTACCGAATAAAGAAGGGTATTATATTATAAACAACACTGAAAAGGGAGTTTTGCTTGCACACAATATTTGATACTTAACACAGGTTGATGGGTCAAACATTGGATCCTCGCTGTTGGTTTCAATTATAAATTCAATTTTAGTAAATCCCGTATAATTATTACATCATTTATAATTTTCCGTTTAACATGCGATGATTTGAAAATAGTTTTTATGCTAGTAAATTATGGACCATTTTCAAGCCTTAGTAGTTGACAGACCGATTAATACACTTACCTAAACCGAATAACATCGATATTATCCTCTGTCAATTTGCTTGATAAGTGCAGCGAATGCGGGTTGGCATAGATATTATTGCATACGTCATTGAACACCAGCTGCAACTGTTTTTCAGAATAAAGCTCCGCTCCTGCATGATCCAGATAACAGATATCTACGGAAAATGGAAACTGTCACAGTATTAATATTGATGAAGCAGATATGAGTTGGTTTCGAACAAAAATAACGTGTATTTAAATTAAAAATAGAAATCTCTAATGACTGCTGTATGATTTTAAAAATAGCTATATTAATAATAAAGTAATTCCAAACATTTGTACAGCATAAAAAGCTGTGTAACTAGTTCAGTGGTGATAAAAGGATAGATATTTCCTAATGTTACGTTTTGCGACATATGAGGCGGTGAAAGGAAAAGTGGTGTAAATCACTTTTTTTTATACAATAGAGATAAGTGCATATTCAAAATCCCCATATTCAAATCTATCAGAAGCAACAGTGGTGTAAGTCATACCTCTTCTATTTTCTGACAGATAGCAGCACACGCTTGACAGTCATACAAAATCTCTGTAATAGTAGAGGGAATAGTGGTGCAAGTCAGACGTACACCACTATTCCTTCATTCCTAAGGCAGTTATTTAGTATTTTGTGGTTGTGATTTTTCAACACAATGGAGGACGACAGTTTAAGTAATGTAAGTGATGAGTCTAGTATTTTCGCTTAGTCAGGAGATAAGTGGGTACCTTCTGATGCTCAATAAGAAAGTACTGGTAAGTTAAACTTGTCTATTATATTTGTTTGTATAACATAAAAACTAACCTCCTAATAATAAATAAACTCCTATAAATAGAAAAACATTTTTGAGTCTTATTTTAGTAAAGTTGATTTGTTTCAGACTGTGAATCAAATGAGAAAGTCACTCCCCAAGACCATCACAGGGAAAGTAATAGAGAAGAAGTAGAAGTTCAACAACTCAAGAGAGCACGAAAACGACAGAGGCATGGAAATAATAAAAAAAATGGCTTCTCAACTCAGGTTGTGAGTATAAGATAACAAAAGGGAAAGTAGTGCCAGGTAAAACTTTTTCAAACAACAACTGTTTTTGCAATAAAAAATGTTTTGAAAATATATCATGTCAAGATAGAAAAAAAAAACATTTGAATCGTTCTGGAAATTGAAATCATTTACAGCACAGAATGCATTTATTTGTGGTTTATTCAAGCAAAAGAAACCTAAAATAAAACGTACTAGGGATCAGTCACGATCTGGTAAGACAGTGTCCAACCAATATTTCATTCATAAACAAGGCGAAACCACGAACTTATGTAAAAAATTGTGACGTCCTCTCGTAGGAGTCACTATCCGGGTAGCTTTTGGACAGTCAGAGACAGAGTTCAAAATAAAATAAAACTTTATTGTCTTCCTTAAATTAAATTGACAAAAATCTTATGTACACATTTACAATTTGGTTTAGTCTTCTCAGTACCTGGCCTATTTATTCAAATTAAGTTTGACCTTGTCGTATGAAAATAGTATTATCGGCAAGCGAGTGTGTTTTTGAAATTTTACGTGAACGTTGTAACAGCGGACGATAGGTACAAAGAAAAGAAAGGAAAGGAACTCAACACGTTCCTGAAGTGATTCGGGTTAATAGGACACTCCTCGACAGTCTCAACACGACCGCTTCAGAGTACGGGTAATGAAGAGCTCAACACGCTCTCCGGGTACGACGGTATGGAACGGAAACAACTTGTGAACTCAACACGTCCACAAGCCGGGGTAGGGAAGAAGAGAACCTTCAGTCAACACCTGTCGATTCTGCCTCTATGAGGAAATGTTGCGGTTTATATAGCAAAGTTTTGCCTTTTCTACTGTCGATACACTCCTACTTCATGGGTTGGTTCGCGCGCACGCTGGTTTAACGGTGATGGCTTGGACTCATCGTTACACCCCCTCTTCCTGGGAGAAAAAAATTTTGGAACAAAATTTTTTTATTTTTATTCCTTGCCAGGTACTTGGTTACCCTAAAAAACAATTTACAATACATCGAAATAAAAAATGTCCGCCCTAAAAAAAATAAATATCGTCTTCTTAAAAAAAATTGTCTTCCTCTCTCTTAAAAAAAAACGTCTTCCTTCGTGGGGCTTCAATCATTGGTTTTTATCCTCAGCACCCGGTTCGGGAGTCTCAGTCTGTATTTTTTTCCTTTATGCTGCGGCGGGATTAGCGAGAGCAGCGGGATTGACACTGGAATTGACTGGACTTTCTGAATTTTTGTGATGCCCATGGTTGGTTCATCGAAAATGTTTTTAAATTTGGAAATAGCCTTTATCAGGGGCTCGCAGCCTTTGCCCGGGGTGTTAGGTTTTGGTGTGTTCCCCAATGGTGATATTAACTCTGGAACGGTGTATGGTGGCGGCGTAACTGTGCCGTCCATTTCTATGTCACTGTAATATATTTCTAACGTGTCTGACATTATATTTGAAGGTTACTGGTAAACTGTATTAAAATATACTGTCACTACTTGGTGTTGACTGTAAGTGCTTGGACTGATTAAGGAGTAGGGAAATCGGTAAATGCGGGTTTTAGGTCTTTGATATGAGCTGTTATTGTACGGTTTTTATCGTCGTGTTTTAATTTGAACATTACATTAGAACACACTTTTGTTATAGTATATGGGCCTGTAAATTTCGGTGCTAATTTGGCGTTAAAATTTTTGGCGGCATTTGAGGGTTGGTATTCCCTTTTCATGACTTTGTCGTTTATTGTGGGTTTCCACTCTCTTCGTCGTAAGTTGTAGTAATGGCTTTGAGTTGTAAAAGCTTTTGCCAGGTTTATACGTACTAGTTCGAATGTTTCTCGTAGTTTATGCCATTTTGGGTTTTTACGACTTTACTTGGAATTTCTAGTTCGTGTCCAAAGTTCAGAAAGGCTGGGGAGAAACCCGTTGAATCGTGTTTAGCTGTATTATATGCGAATAGTAGTTCTGGAAGGCTCGTGTCCCATTTCTTATGGTTATTATCGCAGAACTGAGCTATCATTGTTTTGATTACTCTGTTTGTTCTTTCTACTGGATTATTCTGGGGTGAATATGGCGGAATGTTTCTTTTAGAAATCTAGAATTCGTCTAGCAACTTTCGTACTTCCCTGTTATCGTATGTTCTTGCGTTGTCTGATATTAGCTCTTTGGGTGATCCGAATCTCATAATGATTTTATCTTTTAAGTTCTGACAGACTGATTTTGCCGTTGCTGTTCTGATCGGTATGGCTTCGACCCATTTTGAAAAGGTGTCCTGGAATGTCATTATATATTTGTTTCCTTTGCTGGATGTTGGAAGGGGTCCTATGATGTCGGTTGAAACGGTTGTGCCATGGATGTGGGGGAATTTGTGTAGATTGCATGCGGCCTGGAGTTAAGCTTTGTTGCGGCTTAAATTGCTGACAGTTCTTGCAGTTCCTGACGAACTTTGCGGCGTCTTTAAACATCCCTGGCCAGTAGTATTTTCTAGCTAGGCGGGTTATTGTTTTAGCTATTCCTAGATGTCCTGCGGTCGGTTGCTCGTGGTTTTCTGCCAGGAGTTGTTGTCTCTTGTGGTTTGGGATGCATAGTTTCCAGGGGTTGGATACCTCTGTCTCTTTTAAATCGTATTTGTCCCAGAAGTGTCGATAGAGAAGTCCATCTTTGATAGAGTAGTCTGGAAATAGTTGCGGATTTGTCTGGATTTTATTTAAAGCTTTATTGTACCATTCGTCGGGTTCTACATCTTCTACGTTTATTATGCAAACCAGATCTACTGGTTCTCTAGAGAGCGCGTCGGCCAGGACGTTCTGGGAGCCCTTTCTGTAAATGACATCGAAGTCAAATTGTTGCAGAAGCATTGCGCATCTAGCTATTCTACCTGTAGGGTTTTCCATTGTTTGTAAGTAGCGTAGACTTTGATGATCTGTGATAATTGAAAATGGGTATCCTTCGATGTAGGGTTTCATCTTTTCTACACCGAAGATGATCGCTAGTAGTTCTTTTTCTGTCACGCTGTAATTTTTTTCGGCTTTTGTTAGGTTTCGATTTGCGTAAGCGATGACTTGTTCCTGTCCTTCGTCGTTTGTTTGTACTAAAGCTACTCCTAAACCGTGGTTCGAAGCGTCCGATTGTAAAAAAAATCTTTTCTGAAAGTCCGGGCATATCAGTATTGGAGCTTGTGTCAGTAGTAATTTTATTTTGTTGAATGCTTCCTCTTGGTCTCTGTCCCAAGTCCAATGTTGTTTTTTCTTTAGTAGCTTTGTTAAAGGGGCTGTAGTTCGTGAAAAAATCTTTTATAAAATCTCCTATACCATGAGATGATGCCCAAAAATCGGCGTAGTTGTTTAACGGTTTTTGGCGCGGGATATTCGACTATAGCTTTTGTCTTGTTTTCGTCCACTTTTATTCCCGTTTTGTTTACTACATGGCCTAAATAATTTATCTCTTCTTTGCAGAATTTACATTTGTCTATATTAATTCGTAGTTTTGGTTCACTTCACTTCATTTACACGCCGAGGCGGCGTGTAATCCGAATGGAAGTACTTTGAACTGGAATAGTCCTTTTCCTGCTGCTATGAAAGCGGTCAAGGGTTTGCTTGCTTCGGAAAGTGGTACTTGCCAATATCCATTTTTTAGATCTAACGTGGTAAAATATTTTGCAGATTTTAACTTTTCTAGGATATGATTGATGTACGGTAATGGGTAGGCATCTTTTTCTGAGATGTCGTTGATTTTCCTAAAATCGATGCAAAATCTGTATCCGTTGTTATCCTTCTTTTTTACTAGGACGATGGGGGAACTGTACGGGCTATTAGATTTTTCTATCACGTTCTCTTCTAGCATCTTATCTATCTCATCGTTTATGATCTTCTGCATTGCCGGGTTTCGGGGCCTGTATCTTTGTTTGATCGGTGTATTATGTTTAAGTTTTATTGTATGTTCGGTTAGATGTGTTGTTCCTTTAATGTGTTTAAATTTCTCCAATTCTGTTAGTAACAATTGCTGTAATTGTTTTTTTTCGGTATTGTTTAGTGTAGTACTGATGTCGAGCTGCTCTCGTTTCGGACTGTTCGTGAATTCCGGTATGTATGACGGAATGTCTTCGGTCTGGTCGTCGGCCGCGGTATCAGTCGGTA